GTGATTTGTAGGAATCTGAAAAATGCATTTCACAACTTGTCTCTTATTTAGTTTTATGCGTCATAGTAAATATCGTATTTATTTTATTATCACGTGTGCACCAGCTGACTGTGATTGCAGCGACCCTGATAATCCACGGTGCATAAAGTTACTGTATAAGATGAGATACTTTTTTTTTTATTCGTCAGTTTATTGTTAATCATTTGGTGATTCTTTCATATTCAAACTTCTGTGTGTTTTTTCCAGAATTTTCTTTGTAGGTGCACGTGAAAATCAACTTCCTAATGTGTTAGCTATGATTAATGTTGGCAAGAAGACGCCCACACCATCATTATTTCTCACCGTAAGAACTAGTATTCTTGTTATCTTACCACAGGGCTTATTTGTTTTAATTAAATTTACGCATTTCCAGTCTATACACAAATCTATACACAACCAAATTGCTTAACAAATTAATAATTTTATCTATTTTTTTTTTTTTTTCAGTGTTTTCTTTCTTTGATGTATTTACTTTCTGATGATATTGGAACTTTGATCAACTACTTCAGTTTCATAACATGGTTGTCTATTGGGACTGCCATAGTTGGTATGGTTTATCTCCGCTGGAAGAAACCAGACATGCCTCGACCCATCAAGGTACGTCGTCATGGTGTCACTGTGGTCATCATTGTTTGCAACTATATTGCTTTCATTACTTTGTTGTATTGCCAAACATATATTGCACTGTATTTTCTCTATTAGAAGCACATGTCCGAGAATTGCAAATAAACCAATATATCATATATTGTACATTGTTAAAGCGCGGTAGTCGTCGCATATTCGACATTTGTGTTGATAAACATTGATTTTCCCACAATCCAATGCGCTCTTCAAATGAAAATCACAAGTATGAGATTTGACCTGGGCGCGACTTGCACTGATTACCGCCGGTGACTCCTTCGTTACCTTTCAATCACATGAAAATTACCTAATTAAAGCTTGGAAATGTGTCAGTTCGTACTCGTTGATCTGCGTTGAACAGTCAAAGTCGCCATCTTTGTTTATATGAGACCCATATATCTCGCACATGCGACTACAGCGCTTTAATTGAAATGTGACTTAAAATTACTATAGATACACATGTTAGTGTGTTAAAGAATAGGAGGGAATAGTCTGCCATTAACTTCATCCTGAACCTTTTTTTTTTATTGTAGGTGAACTTAATCTTGCCCATCATCTTCATTATTGCATGTG